TGGTGGCACTCGGGGTCAGCCCAGCCCTGGGCTCTGCCTGTGAGGAGGATCTGGGCTGGTGGAGGGAGGAGGGCTGAGTGCCGTGAAGCCCTGAGGCAGGGACTTGGGCACTGGGCTTCACAGGATGGATAGGAGTTTGCCAGGGAGAGACTGTCCGGAAGAGTGAACCTGGCTGGAGCTTGGGGCCGGACTTTGTCACCCCACTAAGCTTCGACTAAACAGAGGTGGGTGAGGCCCCCAGGGGACCCTGTCTGCTCCATGTCCAGGGGGCCGGGTCATGCTACACCCCTACACAAGTCAGAAGCAGGCAGGGCCCTTGCTGGGCTGATGGTTTGTACCTCGCTGCCACCCCGGAGAGACCGGGTGCCCCTTACCCGGCCATGATGGCACCAAGGCTGGAAATGACCCACTCCTCTGAGTTGACCCCGATGATCCCCACGCTGTGGAAGCGCTCCAGGCCCAGCTAGAGGAGGAAGACCGCTGTGAGACCCAGGAGCTCCTCCCTCAGCACCCCCAAACTGCCCAGAAGCCTTGGGCTTTGTCCAAAGAGTCACTGTCCACCCTTCTTTGATGAAAGAGCCCGCAACCCCCATTGGAAGCTGCCATCTCCATTGGAGTGGTTTTGCTCTCCACCCCTACCCCGACCACCCTCACGAGGAGACACTGGACAATGTGGGAGACTGTTGTTGGTAATGCACACACCAGTCCCCCCGTCTCCATCGACAAGCCAGTGGGGCAGCTGCTCTCCACCCTCCCCCTTTTCACCCCCGACCCCTCATTGAACCTTCCGAGTGGCTAGCTCACAGGGCCCTCTGTAGACGGACCCCAAGAGGGCACCGTGCTCAAGGCAGACACGCCTTATCAGTTGAGCCAAGACCTTCGTTTGGTTTAAAGATGACCTCAGGAGATATTTGGGGGTGGAAGGTTAAAAGACAATCTCAGGGCAATCGTTCTGGACGGAGGCTTTTTGTCCCGGCTCAGGGGCTCCAGGAATTCTAGATTTTGTGCATTCCCCCCAACACCCCCCATTTGATCAGAAGTCTTCAGCAGAATCTCTGATCAAATAGTGTCACAGTCGCCAGGCACCATCGAGTCCACCCGGTCTCATGGCTCTGGGGGGGCTTGGGGGCAGGGTGCTCCGGCTTCAGGTGGGTGGAGGGGAGGCGTGCTGTGAGGCACGGCAGGCCCCTGGCTGGTGCAGAGAAGGAAGGACTTGCGCCTGAGCTGAGAGGCTGGTGCCTGGAACCTTCCGACAAGCACCGGGAAAGACAGGCCCGGCCATCTGGGGCCAGCCTTGAAACACCCCACCCCCATCCCCCAGAGAGGCCAGTTCTGCTCTGCATACCCCGGCCCTGCACCCAGCAGGCTGCTACACAGACAGCCCCGCCCCCACCCCACCCAACAAAGAAGTCTCCTCTGTCCCAGGGCCGCCAGCACCAGCGTTGAGCACCCGGAGTCCAAAGGAAACAGTAGCGCCCCGCCCAGGCAGAGCGGACCGCGCAGGAGGACCCCGCTGCGCACAGTGGGGCAGCCAGGGGGGAGGGTCCGAGGAGGGGCGGGGCCGGGGTACCCGGAGGAAGGCCTTGGCGGCCTTGCGGCACTCCTCGTAGTACTCCATGTAGGTGAGCACTTGCCAGCCGTCCCTGTGCTTGGAGCACAGCGCGATCGAGTTGGAGAACTTGGTGGCCGTGTCCAGGAACATGTCGTGCACGGTCACGGGGCTCTCGCTGGCCAGCGAGTTCTTCTCCATCCGCAGCCGCACCTGGCCGTCCTTCTTCGTTGTCCAGAAACTCTGGTCTGGGGGGTAGGGGTTGGGGGCGAGAGGTGCTCAGCAGAGACGAGGGATCACGGGGCGCTGGGTGGGCAGTCCGGGTCAGGGCCAGGGAAATGGAGCAGCATCAGGCTAGAGGGGGCATGGGCAGGGCGGGAGGCCCAGGGATGCAGGTGGGACTGACCAGTGCAGGTGCAGCCGCCCCAGGGAGCTGGCGGCCCAGCAGCAAGTCTGAGGTCTCCTGACCGCCTGTCCCACCCCGCAGGGTCCCTAGCTCAGCCTCCAGGTAGGGGGGCTGTTCTGGGGCCCTCTCTCCTACCCCAGGGAACCAATGATGGCTGGGCCAGCCCTGACCTTCCCCCTCCCCTCAGACCAGCCCCACCCCTGCCCCAGAGCCCCCGGCCCTCCCCGCCCTCCACCTTTGGAATTGTGCTGAGTCGCTATTCGAGAAGTCATCCCGAGGGATTTCTGCTCTGTCCTCACGGCCTGGGGTGGGGGTGGGGGTGGCGCAGATGAGCATCAAGATCCATAGAATTACAGTGGGGGTGTGGGGGGAGGTGCTTAGTCATGAGGGGCAAATCTGAGCAGTTATGGATCAAATCGTGTGCCCCCCAAATAGGCATGACAAATTAAAACACCGGGCTCAGCCAAATTCAAAGGCACAGAAAGCCATCACTGCTGGAGGGGGTGTGAGGAGAGTGGGGGCGTGCACGACTTGCTCGAGGGACCCCAGAACGAAAAAGCCACTGTGGGAATCAGTGGGGCACTCCCTCACACAAAGGTGGATGCAAATGCCTTAGGGTCCCGAAATCCCTCTACTGGGTACACACCCTCCAGAAATAAGCAATGCCCATGCTCAGGGCAGCAATTTCTGTCCTAGCAGAAACAAGGGGGGGGGTAATAAAAACCCACTTGTTGGGGGTGCAGGTCAAGGGGAGATGATATCAAAGAGTTCAAGAGGAAGAGAATGTTTTGAAATGGATTGTGGTAGCAGTTGTACAGGACTGCTTGGTGTGATTGAACTACGGAATGATGTGATTGGTGCATGCCCTCCCAAGAAGTTGGCTTTGGGCAAAAAACAATCCGCCTGTGGAGGAATGGGTAAGCCTAAGCTGGTACACACACACAACGGAATACTATGCAGCCCAGAAGAGGAAATTATGAGACTGTAACAGCCCTCGCGACACGGACCCACTAGGACCCACTAGGACCACGGTTCTCAACCTGTGGGTCACAACCCCTTTGGGGGTCAAACGACCCTTTTACAGGGGTCACCTGAGACCATCTGAAAACATATTCCCGATGGTCTTAGGGACCAAGACACCGGTCCTCTCTCCGTCTCCAGGCGGGTCCGCCCACATGCAGATGTGCCCGGTGCGAAGACTGGGCCCCATGCTACCCCATGCTTCAAGACAACATTTCATTGATTTGTCACTAGAAATCCATATTTCACAATATATAATGACATATTGTTTGTGTGATGAATCACCAGGCTTTAATGATGTTCAATTTGTAACAACGAAAATACATCCCACATATCAGATATTTGCGTGACGCTTCAGAACAGTAGCAAAGTTACAGTGATGAAGTAGCAACGAAAATCATTTTATGGTTGGGGGTCACCACCACATGAGGAACTGTATGAAAGGGTCTCAGCACTAGGAAGGTTGAGAACCACTGCTCTGGGAGGACATTATGCTCAGAAGGATAAATGCTCATGACACCGCTAGTGTTATTATCATAAAGGAAGAAACAGGGCACATCATTTTCACACCAAAGGAAAAGACTGACGTGTCTGAAGCCAGGGAAGGGGCTGGAGGCACAAGGGGGAAGGAGGAGGGGGAGGGAAGTAGAGAGGAATAAATTGACCGAGATAGACAGACATGAGGCTAAGCCACATGAAGATGTCCAAGAAACCAAGGAACAGGAGCCGGAAGAGACCAAATCTTCCCTCAGAGCCGACACTGAGGACAGTCGTGCTCAGCTTTCCGTTCTCTTCCGAACAGTGAGAAAATAAATTTCTGTTCGTGAACGCCACCCCCTTGTGGTAGTTCTGCCCCTGCCATGCGAGTGAAAGAAGCCAAACTCGGTTGACCCGTTGAGCAGCGGGAGGGGCAGGCTCTTGGAGTGGAGGGCAGTGTGATGGGCGTTGTCCTGGCTGGAGAGGGAAGGAGAGTGGGCAAAGAGAAAGAACTAAAGACGGCAGTGAGGGAGTGTTGACTGGTACCTGCTGTGCTCACCCCAAGCCCCACCCACTGGGCCACGCAGCCCCGTCTTCCACCCACAGCACACTGCACCCTCTCACGTCACTCCTGTCCCCAGTCTCTTCTCCGCCTCAGTGACCCTTCAGCTCCAGCCACGGAAGGACAGTGGCCTCCAGGCGGGGCGTCCAGAACATTCCTGCAAATGGCCAGCCCTTGTGACATCACCGCAGATTCCGTGGCCTAGAGTCCTGATGGCAACACAGCCTGCTGCCCTCGTACAAAAGGGACTGTGGCAACGACACGATCTACTGTCAACTGGAGGAAGGGGTGGAGTTTAGCCTGTCAATCAGCTTGCAGCCTGATGACCTCATTTGGAGGTGCAACGGAGATAAATAGCTCACCGGAGGCCAAACACTCACTCTGCTACACATTCCTGTTGACAAGACACATGGAGCTACGCAGATGGAGTCAGAGCCCTGGAGCTGGAGGAGCCACATGGAGACCCACGCCAG